CAATTTATTCTCCAAGATGAAAATCAGAGTGTCGGAATATCGCCCAAAAGCGTGTTTGATTGTCTAGGTTTATATCACCCTGACTAAATCTGCCCACTGCTTTTTGATCGGTCAAAGAGCTGGAGCGTAATCCAAATAAATAATCTGGATGATTTTTGTCGCAGTTCCGAAGTTTTCTCCTTTCTGAAATTCACAGAGCATAATTTGGTGTAAGCACAAATCTCCTCCTTCATCTGTAAGGCATTCATCTGTGGACAAAATGTTAACATTCAAAAAAGTCAGACACGCAACTGAACGCTGAAGGTTTTCAATCTCAAAGACACCAGTAGCCGGTACCAATACACAAACTCCAGTGTCAAGTTGTGGCCATTTTATATGAACAATGAAAGTCAGATACTAACTTTTGTAATGATCTGATGGTTGACCAGCTACTCAAATAGTCAATCACTGGACTGTACTCATTCAGATCGTAACTAGGTGGCAGGCACTTGTTACATTAGTATCAGATATAAGATCAGTTTATATTTCTGAGATCAGCTATTATGTACATTATTTACATTATTCGGACTATTGTCCTCATCTTTGTCGTCATATTTATTACAACGTTTCAGCCGTTGTACGCCCCGGCCTCTTCAAGTGGTTGGAATGTCGAACTGAGTCCTTTATTTCGCTCACTGGTGTAGACTGTTCTAGTTCCACGTGCGATGTTCCTCAATGAAACATGGCCCAGTAGATAAAGTCGTTGGTTAGATCCAGTGACAGGATCCAAAGAGTGTGAGTTCAATACCCGGTTAAGGCAGTGGAGAACTTTCAGAAGGAAATTAACAAGAGATAAAAATGATAACTGACATCCAATACACATGGCAGGAGAGACTGGGTTCTATAGCCTTGGATGGCAACTGGTCTAGGAGAAGGACAAATCTGAATTCAAAACCTGAGGGGTTGTTTGGGAACCTTGTGGCACGTAGTGCACCAGGTCTCTGTATTCAGCCCTTCCAAAAGTGTGGATGGTCCTGCACGAAACCTTCACCACTATAATCGAATCTCATGTGCTTCACCCTCATACGTCGAACCCGACGGAGGATTATATATATTTATATATATATATATATATATATATATATATATATATATATATATATATATATATATATATATATATATAAATCAAAATATAGTTTTAAGGTATTCAATATCCATAGGTAAAAAGTGCTCAATAGCAGAGATAGTGTTTATGCAAATATAAACGTTTACAACATGAAAAGGTTAAAACCAAACAGCGACAGTCTGTTTCATTTTTGAAAGCAATCCTCAGGCCTGAAAGTTACATTCAAACAGAAACAGACGGTCGTCGTCTGGTGTTGATCTTAGTGTCCTCTTACATATATATATATATATATATATATATATATATATATATATATATATATATATATATATATATATATGAAAATTTCTCCGATTTAATCGGTAGAGAAGACAATATTTATGAATAAAAATGACAATAGGAAAACTGGTAATTGCTGACGCGTTTCGTCAATGTGGACTTTATCAAAGCAAAATACGAAAATGAAATTAAATTGCTAGGTACATTCTGTTTTTGTTTTTATTAGTTACGTTGTTCATTTAATTTCATTTTCGTATTTTGCTTTGATAAAGTCCACATTGGACGAATCGCGTCAGCAATTACCAGTTTTCCTATTGTCATTTTTATTCATATATATATATATATATATATATATATATATATATATATATATATTATTATTATTATTATTTATTAAATTTCAGCGTCTTCTGTCTTTCGCGCACATGTGTAGTTACATTGTTATGTATGTAAAATGTATATCATTTTCTCCCGTGCACACAAGTACAAGAACACCTTCGCGCTCACAGACAGAGCTTTCCCCTCCAAAAGACAAAACTTCTGAAATATATTATGTTTATTATCTATATTCTTCTATCTCTATGCTTCTTAAAAATTTATCTTTAATTTTTGTAAATTTTATCTCGAGTAACAAATAAAATCAAGAAAAGTTTTTTTTTTTTTAATAAAATCGTGACTTGTTGGAAACATTCTCTTTGCGTTTTGCGGTCGATTTTGTTAATCATGAATCAAGTAACATGAGATAAACGACTTAAATTAAGTCAGATATCTTTAAAAGAAGAATAAAGATCACAACTACAAAATATTGCAGACAAGTAAAAGAAAAAACATATCTAAATTTAATCAAGTATACGGGAAAAATGTTATGACAAATCATAACGCAGGGTTTATGACATTGTTTTAGTATGATATACAATGTTAATATTTTAGATGAGGCATTTTTACTAGTATTATTTTTATTAAGAACTCATTTTATCGTTATCATTAATATTATTATTTTCATTTTCTTTGATTTCTGGCGTTTACACATTTCTTTCCGGGTCCCGCCCAGGGACCTAAGGTTAGAAATGGCATCATGACACTTTCCACTGACAAAAAAAAAAAAAAAAAAAAAAATTACATAGCTAAAGCCCTTCGTAAAGTGTGGGCTGTACTTTTCAGAACAATTTTTGTATCTCCTTGAGGCATGGACTTCCAGGAATCCCTTCAATTAGTCTACTGCAATCTTTTCCAACTAGTCCTAGGGCTCCAACTACAACAGGGATTGTTGTTGTTCCCAGATGCCACATTTTCGAGATGTCTATTTCAAGATCCTTTTTGAATATCTTCAAAGATACATTGCAATCAGCAGGGACAGCCATATCAACAAGGAGGCACCGTTTTTGTTTGGGGTCTTTAATAACAATATCTGGGCGGTTGGCTTTGATTCTTCTGTCAGTGTGTATTGTGTAGTCCCATAGAATTGTAATAGGTCCTATCTCCGTAACCGGGTCTGTTTGGTTTTCATACCAGTTTCTTTCAGTTTTCTTCCCGTAGATGATGCAGATTTTCCAGTGCAGATATTGGCCCACTCTGTCATGCCGGGTTTTATATTCAGTGGGTGCCAATATAGTGCAACCTGCTACAAGATGATCAATCGTTTCGGGATATTTATCACAGAATCTGCACTTTGGTCTGACATAATATTTTAGTATATGTGCTTGATAATTCCTAGTTAACAAGCATTGGTCCTGTGCAGCAAGGATAAAACCTTCAAGTTTCCGCTTTCAACCCTGCACTACGTAGCCACTGATGGGTACGGGTTTTGTCTACGTCAGCTTGTTTTGGGACGGGCAGAGTATTGGCCATGAAACGGTTTATCTTGCCATCGCTTCTGTATCTGGCCGGTTGCATTCGTCTTTGCTGTCTTTTTTAAGTATTTTGCAGTTTATTATTATTATTATTATTGTTATTATTATTATTATTATTATTATTATAATAAAAAATGTCTTGCTTTGACTTGCATTTGTTTCAGACTCACACTCCGGATCCTCACCAAGGACCTCGGGCAAGCAAAAAATGTGATGTGTTGTTTCCACTTAATTAAAATAAAAGATAGCTATTGACAAAAAATGTTCTTTGTAGTAGTAGGAGTAGTATTAGTAATTGCTTTTTGTTTTGCGTAGTGGATAAAACAAACCAAGCAATTCTGTTCAATTCCAAGTTTATACTTCCTACA